AGCCGTACTAACACTTAAAAGACAAAGACTGGCTGCGGAGCTCACCTAGATGACAAAGGGAGGACGTAAAACAGGACTTGGATAACAAGACAGCAAAACCACAGGAAAGTTACAAGTGCACAGGGAATTCCTTAAGGCCTGGGGAGAAAAAAGTGAATTTGGCCCAATAAAGCAGTAATTTAATCCTTTTTTCTGGGACAACTCAAACTTTCAAAATAGATTAAACTGCCCCCTCCTCAACGGTGGCTACTTCTACTAACTAAAAAGCACGGCCAAACACTTGAAAATTGATGGTGGAGTTGCTTCAAATACTCTACAACAGTTGATGCAAACAACACATTTTAAATACTTACATTGACCAATCCAAAGTAGTGTTCATTGATCGGAAACTGCTCTGGCCCAATGTCTTTTTCCAGAGCAGAGGCATTGGTGCCCTAAAAAAGAAAAACAGCAAGAGTTCTGTCACATGTAAAATACCTGACAGAGTGTGTTACTGAGACAAGCACCTCCCCGGAGGACCAGGCGTCTGGTGACGTTCAGGCTCATTGAGAGGCGTCAGAAGTAAACCAGAAAACACGCGAGTGATGTCGGCCCTGCTCCTCTCCTCAGACAACTTAATTATTCCCCCAAACCTGCTCTGCTTTTATCTTCTATCAGGAACAGAGGCTAAGATGGGCGAATAACCAAACAGTGGCTAAGAACTTCTCAGCAACACGCTGCCGTCCCAGACAGCTGCAGCAGCTTCCAGACCACCTGACGGCATATAGAATCTTATCACTGCTTTCAAAGTCAATTTCTTCCTTCCGATAAAGATTTACAGCACACCCACTGGGCCAGGTACTATTCTCTAGGTCTGGGCCCAGATAATATAATAGAACAGTGAGCAGAACGGACACGATGGCTGCCCCCATGGAGTTCCCATTTCAGTGGATGCAGACAGTCTGAAATAAAAAGCATGCTGGACGGTGTACCAGAAAGCGACAGTGGAATGCAGAAACGGCAGGCAGGCTGGGAGTCGGAGGGTACAGGACAGGCCTGCAGCTGGGTACCTGCGGCTTTCTATCACGTGGTGGGGAGGCCTTCCTGAGAAGGCAAAATGTTCAAAGAACATCGTGAAGAACAGAGAAGTACAATTCAAAATCTAACGACCCCACCCAAACGCATCAAACTGGCAAGCCCCTGGGCATTCCGACATGACAACAGCAGCTAGGGTGCCCCCTATGTGCCAGGGGCAGTGCTATTCACTCCTACAACAGCCCTGTGAGCTAAGTACTGGGGTTTCCCCATTTTACAGACAAGGAACCTAAGACTCAGAATGGCTGAAGAATCTGCCCAAGGTCCATAGTTAGTAAGTAGCAGAGCTAGGATTTGAACCCAGAGTGAGACCTGGGAGCCCAGGACCTTAACCAAAGGGTCTACACGGCAATCCAACTGGTCAAACCATTTACTTCGTCCCACTAATAGGTCGGTTACAGGAAACCAATTACTATTACTCTCCAAGGCCTGGCTGAGTCTGCTGCAGTCAGGAAAAGTGACCAAAGCTCAGTCCAAGAAGATGAGTATTTTGAGGCATGGGTAGATGAGGACTCCATCTACCAACCATCACAACTTATCAGGGTGTCAGAAAAGACCCACATGTTACAGAAACTAAAGGATTCAGGAGATAGGTGTTTTAAAAAGAATAAGCACACTTTATTCAAAAAAATATAATAATCTGCTGCTACTAATTGTTCTTGACTTACATAATTAGCACGTTATCTCATGGGAAGGAATGGCCAAAAGGTAAGCTGAGAACCATCAAGATGGCCACTAGTCACCAAGCCAACATTAAATGCAAAAGGACCCAACTCACAGCAAACAGAACTAGAGTAGGAAGTTGGTGCATGGCCTCCCCTTATCACAACATCCTTCCATTTTCTAGTTCCTTTATACTGTTCTGCCAAACTAATAAATTCCTTTACCTGGTCACATTAGTGGGGCTCAGCAGATGGTTTAACCAGTTGGACTGCTGTGCATTTGGTTAAGACCATGGGTCCTCAGACCTGACTCCTGGGTTCAAATCCTAGTTCTACCACTTACTGGGGATGGGGAGTGGGGGCATCATTGCCTTCATGATACCGTGATCCAAATGCAAGGCTCAAGTTTTGAAAAAAACATCAAATTACTA